ACCTACTAGCGATGGCCTCTCCAACCTACTAGCAATGGCCTCCAACCTAATAGCGATGGCCTAGCGATGGCCTCCAACCTACTAGCGATGGCCTGCAACCTACTCTTCTAGCGATGACCTCCAACCTACTAGCGATGGCCTCTCCAACCTACTAGCAATGGCCTCCAACCTACTAGCGATGGCCTCCAACCTACTAGCAATGGCCTCCAACCTAATAGCGATGGCCTCTCCAACCTACTGGCGATAGCTCCAACCTAATAGCGATGGCCTCTCCAACCAACTAGCAATGGCCTCCAACCTATTAACGAGGCCTCTCCAACCTACTAGCAATGGCCTCCAACCTAGTAGCGATGGCCTCTCCAACCTGCTAGCAATGGCCTCCAACCTAATAGCGATGGCCTCTCCAACCTAATAGCCATGGCCTCTCCAACCTACTAGCACAATGGCCTCCAACCTAATAGCGATGGCCTCTCCAACCGAATAGCGATGGCCTCTCCAACCTAATAGCGATGGCCTCTCCAACCTACTAGCGATGGCCCCCAACCTAATAGCGATGGCCTCTCCACCCAAATAGCCATGGCCTCTCCACCCCAATAGCCATGGCCTCTCCAACCTACTAGCAATGGCCTCCAACCTAATAGCGATGGCCTCACCAACCTAATAGCGATGGCCTCTCCAACCTACTAGCGATGGCCTCCAACCTAATAGCAATGGCCTCTCCAACCTACTAGCCATGGCCCCTCCAACCTGCTGGCGATGGTCTCACCAACCTACTGGCGATGGCCCCTCCAACCTGCTGGCAATGGCCTCCAACCCACTGGCGATGGCCTCACCAACCTACTGGCGATGGCCTCACCAACCTACTGGCGGTGGCCTCACCAACCTACTGGCGATGGTCCCTCCAACCTGCTGGCGATGGCCTCCAACCTACTAGCGATGGCCCCTCCATGGCCTCCAACTTACTAGCGATGGCCTCCAACCTAGAAGCGATGGCCTCCAAAATACTTCAAGCAACCGCCAAGGCACAAACGTGAAACGTATCAACACATGCCAAACATCTTTGCTTCTCCTTGCAACACACTCTGCCACTGGGCAGTACCAGTTTCTCCTTAACAAAGAAGAGATGATGGATGCTGAGAAAAAGAAAAGGAACTCAGAAAACCAAAGAGATTGCTACAAAGTAGATGTACAGAGCGGCGTCTAAGGTTGGTTGAGAAACAAAGAGTCACATTGTTGATACCAGGGTGCATATTCGACCGTGGTGCCCGGGTCTGGCTCTTTAGCCTGACACGACTGCAGTTGCCGGTGCATTGCTGCCAATTTCTGTGTTGCTCATGGTGCCACATCGGAATAAAAGAGAAATGATTTAAGAAAGAACATGTTTAAAAAGAAGCTACTAGGGGCTCCTGGCATCGCTACTAGGAGCAAGGATGCTACTAGGGGCTACTAGAACTTTTTTGAAAGAGAACGGTTTCTCTGTGTCTCGCGCCTCCGAGCTCTCATTCTGGGCCTTTGGAGCCTCCAAAAGGACCGCAAAAGGGCGAGCGCGACCGCGGCGAGCGAGAGCAAAGCGGCACCTCCACCATCAGATGGCGCCGCAAAGCGGAACACCAATCCAGCGATGAGCTGGCACGGATGTGCAACGTCAAATGTCTCTCCTGCAACGTCAAATGAGTAACAAGTGCCTTACTACTAGTAACAAGAAGCTATTAGAAACCATAAGCTACTAGGAACAAGTGCATCGCTACTAGTAACAAGTGCCTTACTACTAGTAACAAGAAGCTATTAGTGACTTTGACACCTCAGCAGAAGTCGCACCTCAGGAGCAGAAGTCAAAGTAAATGGATGCCATTCGCCCTTCCAGTATAAGTGCACATACTGGCCTGCCTGACAGGGTGTGCTGACTTTGCTTCAAATTTCCCTGAACATCTAGGAACCAAATCATTAGTGCGAGCGCTTCCTTGAAGAAGCGTAAGCTATCCTGCGTCCATATGTAGTAGCTTCCTTGTAGCTACCTGGCTTCTACTAGCTACCTCTAGCTACTACTTCTTCTCGGCGTACCCCCGCCCCCAAAAATAGAATAAACCAACAAAGTAGTTTTTAAAGGTGGCGTCCTTTGCTCCTAGTAAGGCCAGGAGCCCCGAACGTAGCGTCCGATCGCTCCTAGGCCTGGTAGGTGAAGTTCTCGGGGATTTCGAAGGTGAGATGAATCACGTCGAACAGCAGGAGCCGGGCCTCGCTTTGCTTCCATTCCAAGCCGCTCGGGACAGGTCTCGAAGAAGATAGAGGTTGCACATAGATCAAATCTACAGCTACGGTTATATATATATATATGTGTATCTACTCGTTGGGCTACAAAAAAAGACACTAGCTCTATTCGGTACTGAAAAACGCTCTTGTAACTGGACGCAGGATAGCTCACTATTCATTTGGTTCTTAGATTTTTTGGTGGAAAACTTGACTCTGGATCATTGCCTCCAAACTCACCCCAAACCGTGCTGCTGTTGACGGAAGGAAACCGGAAAAAGGATTGAAAAAGGATACAAAATATCTGAGAAGTCAAGACAATGCATTGAGATCGTCCTGAGGTTGAGGCGGAGACAAGGACAGCAGGATAGCGCTGTCGCTGGGTGAGGAGAATGCGGTCAACCGCCATGAAGATCGCGGGGAAAAACATCCAAATCCAAAACCTTTCAAGTTCGTTGGGCCATTTCTGACACATGTGTTCGACATGTCGATACAAAGTGCCTTCGCAAATCTGACGTTTCTTTGTGAAACCGTTCCGAATTCATGCTCCACCTTGGTGTGGTGTGGATCAAGAGCAAGAGATACACAATAGGCCAAATGGAATGAGCCTCAAGCGCCGGCATCGGCCATAAGCCTTTCTTGACAACTCTCACTTTCTCTCCTCCAAATTCCAAGTCCTTGTTCCTCCAAAAGCGCAAAAAACTGTGAATGAGTGATGAATTGAGAGTGTGTGCACGCTTGAACTATTGTGAATTCAATACAAAATGGTTGGCCAGGGGCAGCTGGGCCACCGGCCTGCTGAAATAGGCGAAAGCCACCACAACGTCGCGCCACGCACTGAGCAGAGCGCACGTCACGCAAACCGAGTTGACAAGTTGGCAAAGAAAAATCACCAATGAAAGGAGGCGATCGCCATGGCTACAACCTTTGTGAAGAAAGACACAAGAAAGCAGTGACACACGGCAAAAGGACAAGGCACGCATGTGGCTCTTCGCACCGAGGGCAATGCCGTCACCTTGGAATCTTCAACCCAATCCTCTGGCACTTGGCCATTTTATTGGTAAATCACGTTCTAAGGGTGTTGGTAAACTCCCACCCAAACGTGTTTTCACCAACTGGAAAGCACAGGAAGCAACCAAAAACGCCTCAAGAGTTTATATTTCCGTTGACGTAATCCCCATTCTACTGCCCTTATCTAATCACGATCTCTTCGCTCACTTTAGTATTTTTGGTCAATCTGAAACCCTGACACCAAAACCGCTTGTTCTCTCTCTCTCTCTCTATCCCTGCTTTTCTCTCTTCCATAAAATCAGCTATAAGTGAGTGGCCTTCCGGCCTCTAAACTTCAGGTGAACCCATGTTGTCCTTCCCTTCTACCCGAAACCGCCATGTTCCACTCACGTCTTTTGGCATCCTCTGGTCTTACCTCACATGAATAATGACTAGTCAATAGTCTTGCAAATCTCACCCTTCATGACTCTCTAAAGCCGTCACTCCAGCACCCATTCTCCAAAGAATGACATCCCTACAAGATCGCTTAGCCATAAAAGTTGGCCGATCTTGACACCACCGATCTCGGACAAAGCACCCTGTGACAAACGCATGATAACAGCAACAGCATCCGAATGTCGAGAAACATAGATCACGAACATCAAGGATGTAATCAGCAAGCCTCTCCGAAGTGAGTCTGAAAAGACATCCACGCTTCTCAGAAACTGCATGCGCTATGTGTAAACAAAAGGAAAACAAAAAAGCGCAAAAAAGAAAGCAAGCAGAAAGAAACTAGCAATTACAAGAAGCTACTAGTAACAAGTGCCACGCTAGTAGTAACAGGTAGTAACAAGAAGCTACTAGAAAGCAAGCAGAAAGAAACTAGCAATTACAAGAAGCTACTAGTAACAAGTGCCACGCTAGTAGTAACAGGTGCCTTACTAGTAGTAACAAGAAGCTACTAGTAACAAGTGCATCGCTTCTAGTAACAAGTGCCTTACTAGTAGTAACAAAAAACTTTGTTTATGTTGCTCTTTTTGCTCTTCGGATCTCTTGGGGTCGGCGTTTGCGCCCGCGGAAGTGAAAAGGATCGTGCACCAAAAAAACACATCGTCCTCTTTTCAAAAGAAACTTCGGACAAGTTCTCACTTCTCTAACTGTCTCTAACTCGCGTCTTCTTCCTCTTTTTCTTCCAAGTTTAAAGGAACGTGTGTTTTCAAACCTCTCAATGCTCAGAACAAGCTGGGTAGTCCATGGAGCACGAGGGAGACAAGCAGGTCTCAATCTTCGGAGCACAGCACACCGCCCATGGGAGGCACCTCAAGTTGGTGAAACGAGAAGCACCGCCGTCCACGAGAAACCATGGAGATGTGACCAGAGATGAAATTGAACCAAGTGAGTTGCTCCTAGTAGCGTCCTTGCTCCTAGTAGCGATGCCAGGAGCCCCTAGTAGTTTCTTGTTACTAGGTTTCACAAAATCGAAGCAAGAAAGGTTCAGTTGCCCCAAAAGTCTTGGAATCAAAGTGCGAGGGTTTCTTCAAGGAAGCGAGAGCTATCCTGCGTCCACGCTAGTAGCTTAAGTAAGGTACTAGCTACCGCTCCCTTATTTAGTTACATAGGCGCCTACTGAATTAAGTGAGGGGGGGGAGTGCGTTTTTTTGTTTTCTGATTCAAAGAGTTTGTATACCTCACGTCATCACGTCCCGTCTTCCCGTCGCAGCACGTGGCAATCTGGAGCGTTGCAATGCACGTCGCTCCAGGGCTACACCGAGAAATCATCGGCGCGCAGCACCTTGACAGCTCCCGAGATCGAAACGGAAAGGAAAACTAAAACTAACTTCTTTTTACTAGTGGTACGGCCAGGAGCCCCTAGTAGCGTCCTTGCTCCTAGTAGTAAGGCCCTTGTTCCTAGTAGTAAGGCCAGGAGCCCCTAGTTGCGTATGTGTCAAACAAGCTGGAAAGGAAAGGGTATTGCAATCTGGAAAGACGGAAACGAGAGGACAGGTTTCGATCATCCGCGTTGAAATGCGTGTCCAATGTTCTCGATTCTTCGTTCGAAGAGCATGGCAGAAGGAACAAGCTGGCACTAACATCAGCAGTAGTGGTAGTGAGAAAACCCAGAACTTCTAGCTGTTTGATATGGTTCCATTTTCGGGTGTTCTTTGTGACAAGGTCTACTGCAGTTTGCTTTGTTTGTGCTGCAAAAACCGGCAGGACCAAAACACAAAAATAATGTTCCAATTTCTTGCTGAACACAGAAATCAAGTTTCCAATTTTGCCAAGCCGCTCGGTGCCATAACCCCTGGCAGTCGGAAGGTTGGCTAGGCTAGCTACTGCGTCAGTCTGAGAACGCTAAGAACTGCAAAGTTGGACCACAGATTAGAAACAAGTGCCTTACTAGTAGTAACAAGAAGCTATTAGAAACAACAAGCTACTAGGAACAAGTGCATCGCTACTAGTAACAAGTGCCTTACTAGTAGTAACAAGAAGCTATTAGAAACAAGGGCTCCCACTCAACAGATTGCAAACACGGGCGGCCACCCGCAAGACGCGATGGACTCGGAAGCATAGCAGCGGTCCCCACCAGAGCACAGTGGCACATGAGAAGCCGTCGCATGCGAAATCCAGGCGCCGTCACAGCCAAATTCACCTCATTGGACCCGCTTCGCGGCAACAAACTACTAGTAAGGCACCTGTTACTACTAGTAAGGCACTTGTCACTAATAGCAAACATTGTTACTACTAGTAAGGCACTTGTTACTAGAAGCGATGCACTTGTTACTACTAGCCAGCGTTCTTGAAGTTCAATTGCGAACTATTCTGTGGGCGCAGGTGTTATGACCGCACGGCCCAATAAAGTGTCATCGTCCAATAGATATAGAATGTTTGTTTTGCACAAGCGTGTCTGATCAAAAGACAGCAACGGCCCTACTTTACTTGACTCAAAACACGTTAGTAACCACTCATGCAACAGCCTTCGCTATTGATGAACGTCCGTGAATCACTTCGAATCCCCTAGCCTTCAAGTGGCGTTCTGCAGCTTGCAGAAGACTGCAATTATGTACTGCTACCGCTACTAGTGCCAGTATAGCGCTATTTTGCAGTGTTCATTCATGCCGTGGGTGGACCAGTCTGGCGGAAGTTCCCGAAAGCTCGGGCCCCAAAGGTTGGGCCCCGAACTTCGCTTATTTAGAGCTTGCGCGACCATGAGCTAGATTTATTAAAAAACGGTGGTACTTTGTACAGGCTGCTACCAGCACAACTAAGCGTCTTCAAGCACTAAAAAAAGTAGGATGAGAAGTGAAAGACATTTGGCCGGCCAAACGTGCCCCGAGCCGACCCTACGGCTTCGTATGGGCGCACGGGAGACAAGTGGGAGATCAGCAAAGAGCAGGGAGACAGGCAAAGAGAGAAGTGGTGACAAATGTCAGAACATCCGGCCAAGCGTATCCAGAGTATGCCGAGACAAGTGGGAGACAAGTGGAAGACAAGTCTAAAATCATCCGGCCAAGTCGGGCCAACATCATCTCAGCAGGGAGACAAGCAAAGAGACAAGTCCAGACAAGTGTAACCACATCCGGTCAAGTGTATTCAAGACAAGTGGAAGACAAGTGTAACAAGAAAGAGGCAAGCAGGGAGACAAGTGTAAAATCATCACGCCAAGAGCATCTAAGCAGGGAAGCAGAGAGACACGTGGAGACAAGGGATAACAACATCCGGCCAAGTCTATCCAGAGTAGGCCGACACAAGTGGGAGGCTAGTGGAGACAAGCGTAACAAGAAGGGAGACAAGTGGAGGCAAGTGTAACAAGTGGAGGCAAGTGTGACAAGTGTAAACCAAGAATATCTAGGGCAGGGAGACAAGCAGAGAAACATCGGGCCAAGTGTGTCCAGAGTAAGCCGAGACAAGTGGTGTAAAAAAATCCGGCCAAGCGCATCCAGAGTAATCAGGCCAAGAGCATCCAAGCAAGGAGACAAGTAGAGACAAGAATAAAAAGACATCCGGCCAAGTGTATCCAGAGTAGGCCGAGACAAGTGGAAGTGGAAGTGAAACACATATATATTCAAAGCTTGGCAAAAAAGGCAAATGGTTTCCCAAGGGCACGTGACCGGGCTCTTTCCAAAAGCCCAAAGGTCGCAATTGTCTTCCCAACAGTGTCTTAGGATCTTGAGAACCCGAGCAGTCTTTTGAGCTTGGGTCTCATGAGCTTTGACGCATTCCCCCCTCATCTTTCGCCATGTTTGCCCTGTCATCCATGCGTCTGCCTTGCGCACGCTCTCTTATCTATCCAACCGTCTGAAGACCTTGTCCATCCTCACTGCTTACGGACCTCTCCACATGTTTTCCCTGCGTGAACCCCGAAAGCTGGAGCCGAGCGCGAACATCGTAACATTTGATTTCCTTCCTCCATTGAGTTGGAGGCCATCGCACTTAGGTTGGAGGCCATCGCTGACTGTTAGAAAAAAATGTATATATAATATATCCTGCTTAATGCTGGGCATCGCCACTATCGCCACCATCGCCACCATCTGGCGAGCTGATTGTCGCAGCAGCTTGAAGGACGACGGGCAGCCACAACACACGAAGCATCAATTCGACAAAAAGGGGCCAACACCAACAAGGTGTGTGCATGGCTAAACATGATCTGTATATCCAAACATGGTTTGCATACACTTGAAGCTGTTCCTCTTCTAAAAGCGTTCCGCAACTCGCGTCCCCTCTTGGCAATTGTCGTGGTGCGTTTCAGTCGGGCTGGTTACATTTCTCTCTGACGGTTGACATCGTTATTGTTTCTTTCGTTGTCGCTTGTCTGATTCTTGTACGAGCCAAGCAGCACAAGCGGAGTGTGACACTACAAGTTCTTGCAACGCGCAAGTTGCTCTTGCACTTGCACATCAATGCACATGGGTTTCAATGCGAGTTGTGCAGGAAACAATCTTGGATAAGTATAAATACATTCTGGCACTTCATGTCCAACTAGCTGCGGGCTGCGCCTGTGAAGTTGGCACGTGTTAGCAGCAATGCTTCCTCTGCACGAGATCAAAGAGCAAAACGAGAGGAAGCATTAGTAACAAGAAGCTACTAGGGGCTCCTGGCCTCGCTACTAGGAGCAAGGAAGCTACTAGGACTCTGGCCTTACTACTAGGAGCAAGGAAGCTACTAGGGGCTCCTGGCCT